TTTTTTTTTTTTTTTTTTAATTTTTTTTTTGTACAGGTCCATCTTCTTAAAGGAACTTGCTTGAGATAACCTAGCTGTTGGCCGGGCTACTGCACTCATATCTTCTGACTCCTTTTGTGGTACTCTTTCTGCTCCATGGTACTGCCTTGACACATAATGCTCACCTCTTAGCAAGGAGAAACCCACCATATCAGCTAACTGGTTGGGTCAACAAGGCCTAACACTTGGGAATCTGGCTGTCAGTTAGCCTGCTGAAAGTCAGCCTAATAATTCAGGCCATGGAAGGGAATTTCAAATTGTCAACTATTCATCAGTCAAGCAAAGGAGAGGGTTATGTTGACTGTCTTCTCTGTATGCGGCACTCTCCCACATTGGGTGGAGTTCTAGATTTTAGGAGGGAAATAAAAGTGGAAGGCCTGGTCACTCACCTTACACAGCTAATCAGGGAGACAAGACTATCGCTTAGGAAACCACAACATCCATCCAGTGATTCCACCCCGATGGTGCATGAGCCTGTATACCTGTAGTTCACGGTCATGTTTAGATGCATTGTGGGCATTCAGAGGAGATGGTGTCAGTAAGCCTGGATATGTTAGAGAAAGGGAGGTCAGACCAAGAGGAATGAGTTGGGATTTCCATGAGAAAAGAAATCAGGATTGGAGAGTAGCATGTTTCAAGTAAGGCAAAGACACAAAGCAGGAAATTCTACAATGTGTTCAGGAAGTAGGAGAGGGCCAACAAATAAAATTTAAGCTTTACCTTCTTCTTTAGAAATGTCACAAATTTCCTCTAAGTCAGAACACTGCTATTATAGACTAAATAAATAGACGAAAGCAAAATGCCAAGCTATTTAATTACACTTTATTGCACCAGCTATGGGATGTGCTATGGGAATCATAGGAAGAGATACTTAGCCCCAGGCATTTTGGAAATCTCAGGAAATTTATTTCCCAACACCAAGCTTTTACAAATTATTCTCCAACAGGCAGAAACTCCTCTATAATATCAGGATGAACACCTTAAGTTTACTGTATTGTTTCCTTGGTTACTTTCTTTTTTTTTTTATTGAGGTATAGTTGACATATAATATTAGATTAGTTTCAGCTGTACAACATGGCGATTTGACATTTATATACATTCCAAAGTGATCACAACAATAAATCTAGCAACCATCTGCCACCATATAAAGTTGTTATAGTATTATTAACTACATTCCCTATGCTGCACATTGCATCCCCGAGTTTTACACACTTAATAACTGGTAGTTTGTACCTTTTAATCTCCTTCCTTTATTTCACCCATTCCCCTATACCCTCCCCTCTGGCAGACACCAGATTGTTGTCTGTATCTGTGAGTCTGTTTCTGTTTTGTTTTATTTGTTTATTTGCTGTGGGGTTTTTTTTTTTTTTTTT